TGAAAAGTGGCCAGTTTTTGGGTAAACCCCTGCTGCCTGGACTCTATATGTAAGCTATCCTGTCTCTAACCCCCCCCCCGCCCACACCCCCTCAGCCTGTGCCCTCCTCTCCCTTCCTCTCTCTCCATCTCCAACCAGGCCATGGAGGACTCTTCTCAATGTTGCAGACCTGTTCTCAGAACTGCTATTTGCAAAGAGGTTGTTTAGGACAACTCCCTAGCTGTCTTTCTAAAATGTATCTTAGAGGAGATTGAACCCCATCATTTGCATTTTAATGGGGAAGCAGTGGTGATGGGGCCTGCACTGCTGACTAGTAAAGGGTGTTGGGGTGGGGAGTAAAGGCATTGAGATTCTGTCCCAATGGACCAGCTGAAAGACCAGGGTCACAGGCCACAGACCACAGGCCACAGACTGGCTTGAACCTGCCTGGCTCCCCTCATCAACCTCAAGGTGCCTGACTTCCACCCTCTGAGAAGATCTGACTTTGAGGCCTGTGCTCTTAAAACTAAAGAAAGATGAACACTCCTCACTTTGGTCCTCCCAGCCCTCCAGGACCTGTGACTCTGAGCAATGCACCCAAGTGTCAGTGTCAGAAACATGTGGTTCAGGGAGAAGGGCACATGCAGGATGGGACAGGTAACCTAGGGATGACAGCAATGTCCCCTCCATCATTTATAACCTCAGGCAGCCTGAGTACAGAAGAGGACCAGGTTGGCCACTTCTCGGGGCCCTTCACTTGGGCACCCTGGAGCCAGCCTGGTAGACCATGCCATGGTGAAAAGTATGTCCACCTGTGCACACATGTGAAGTGGTCAGGAGGGATCCAGGTAGAACCTGGGGAAGATGCAAGGAACTAAGTCACACAGTAGAATAATCTAGAAGAGGTCACCCCAGGATGTGAGGTATCCCAGTGGAGGTTCTGAATCCTCACAAGCTACAAGTTGACACTCTTCAGGTTCATGGAACACCGGTACCTGCCATCCAGGAACCTGGAACACAGCAGGCTGGGTGAGCAGGGACAGGTATGGTGTTGGCGTTTCCGGAAGAAAGGGAGCTAGGGAGAGAAGAAAATAGCAGCTTCAGCCACAGGAAGAGCTGCAACCGTCTCCTCCCAACCTCTATCCCCCACCAAAAACTAGTAATTAGAGATGAGGATCCAAAGCAAAGAGTGACTGACATGCCAACATCACACATGACTGCTAATTCTTAGAGGAGCTAGGATTTGGACCCAGATAGGCTGGTTCCCTGGATTCAGCACACCTGTGGCTGTGCATGTACACACAGACGCATATCCCTAGTGAGCGGCTCTTTCTGCCCATCCCTGATGTCCTCAGTTCTGTGTTGGGACTTAAGATTAGCTGTGAAGGGACAAATATGCCCTGTGCTCTGACACCACAGAGCATTGCTGAACACCTGAGTTTTCCCCAGTGGTTTCTTACTCATTTATTTATTATTGTGTATAAGTGCATAACAGGGAGGTCAGAGGACAGCTTGGGCCACACAGCAAGTGCCTTTACCCTCTGAGCCATCTTTCTGGCCCTCAGTGGGTTTTAAAAGGAACAAGAACACTAGGTCCAGCACAAGACTTCCTAGATTCAAATCTCAGATCTACCCCTTTCCAGCTTTGTGATAACTGACTGTTTATTCAACCTTACTGGGCCTTGACTTTATATTCTGTAAAATGGGTTAATAGCACTTACCACATATGGTTGTAAAGAGGCTGAAATTTCATATTTATAGAAAAACTATTGTGGCGGATGGCATGTAGGAAGTGCTTGGCACTCATCTTTACTACCACTGATGTCCTATTGGGAGAAGGAATCATTCTGAACCATCTCCCACAGCCCAAGGCAGAGAGGACTGCTGGTATCTTGCCCATTGTCTCTGATTTCAGCTTCCTGAGCCTAAGGGGGTTAAGAACCAGTCTATAACTAGGAGAGAGAATGCTGGAAGATTCTTTGAACCTAAATGATCTCTGGTGCTTGTGCAAGAGCCTGAAAGACTGCTGAGGGGTACTGAACGTGGCTGATAAGCCTGAGCACTTCCAGCCTCATCCAGCAAGGGCTCTGCCCCTTGCAGACCCCATGCCCCAAAGGCTGTGTCACCTGACGCCACCCAAAGCTATGGCTTAAATGCTTAGGGCACAGAAGAACGAGTCCCTCTTACAGTGTGTACCTTGTTCTGGCCCCAGCTATGGATGGGAGGCCATTTTATGGAACCCTTTCAAAATCTGAATTTGTCGCATGTGTAAGAGACTTTAGAGATAATTCACCTGCTCTCTTCAATGTCTACACGAGACCTGTAATCCACAGCAAATGAAGAGCCAAGGATGGTCAGCCCACAGGTCTAGCAGCTTGTGTGACTGGTACTACCATTCCACCAAAACCAAGGAGGCAGTGCCCCAATCAGCAAGCTAAGGCTAGAGCCGACTTAAGAAAACCACAATTCCAGTCTCAGATGTCTCACCAGATTTGAGCAAGTCCTGCTGTACCTGTTTCCTCACCAAAACCCAAGGACACTATAAAGATCAAACTACAAACAACAGACTCACCAGACTATCTAGGCGTCTACAGGTAGACCATGTCAGGGCCAGTACCAGTGTTCAAATGGCATCTGAAGGCCTAAGTAAAATGGCTGCCTGGCAGGGGCAGAGAGCAACCCCTCCGTGCCTGCTTCCCTTCCTTCCTTCAGTCATGGTCTGGATTCACTGTGGAGGAAGCAGAGCTAACCTTCCCTGCATTGTCCTCAGAAACCACAGCCTTCCTGGTCTTAGCTGGAGCCAGGCCCCAGGCCCTTGTCTGCTAGGCCAAAGCTCACCCACACGCATGCCCATGTGATGCCAGCATAGTCACAGTACCTTGTGGCTGCCAGGGTGGCACTCGTCTCCTTCTCGCCCCAGTGGGGTGCACATCCTCAGCCCCCGTAGCCATAGACTGATGGCACAACATGTGCCTGTCCCACACTGGACATCCCACTCACAGGCCTGCAGGAGAGAGAGAGCTGGCCCATTAGTGCTACCCAAGAGAAACCAGAGGAAAGGTAATCCTAAACATCCTTGTCAGGGTTCAGGAGGGAGTGACCAAGTGACTCAGACTATCAAGACACCTTGGTCTGGGCTCTATTGCCTCTGCTCACCTCCTGTGCAGAACACCTGGAGCTCAGCAGGGCACTAGACCTGGATCTGGGACACCATCCCCAGTCCTTTGAGGCCACTCAGTAGAGAGACAGTTCTCTATTCATGACAAGACCTAGATTGGGAGGCAAAGTTTTTCTAACACCAGCAGATGCTAGCAGAATTGAATGAATTAAAATACTCCAGTGAGTGGAGGAGGGTCCCTGGATGGTGGTCCAAGGCTCCGGGTGGTCAGTGATGAGCTATCTCTGGCCAGGATTCTCCCTCTAGCACACATTGTTGGCTCCTCCTTCACATGTTTCCCACTCCCTGACTCATGGAGGCCTGATAGACAGGTGTCTCTCCCGAGTGCTTCTCTGCTAGATGCCTTGGTCCCCTGACATGGATGGACCCCTCTGGGTTGGGCTCCCAGAATGAGTTCCTCAGCCCTGCTGGATGATGTCATTTTTAAAGGCCATACAAGCCTACTTTTCATCAAAGCCAGGATCAGGAAAACTGACCTCCTAACTGCTTCAGCTCAGGTGGGTCTCACAGAGAAACATGCAGGCTGGCCACTTCACTGAGCTGAAATTTGAATCTGAGTTTTTATTTACTCTTCTCCAGTATCAGGCCAGCAGACTGCCCTGCACTGTACCAACATGACAGGAGCCAGAAGTTCTCAACTTTCCCAGTTCAGGAGGGAAAGCAGATGCCAAGTCACTTCATCACCCAGAGAAGGTGCAGGTGGCAGCCACTTGTCAGCCAGCCCAGAGAGGGTACATCTCACACCTCAGCTAGCTCCCTGAGAACTGAGGGTCAGGGAAGTAGGCCCCACTTTGACTCCTCTCCCCACTGAAGGAGAAGCCTTCTACAGCCTGGACAGTCACCATGCAAGGAACAGGGCAGGACCTGGCCTCTTTCTGAGAGTCAGGAGTGGGACATCTGAGACACATTGCAAATAGAGGGCAGCTGGGCACTCGTAGGTCCTCTCCCTCAACACCCTGTTCTGACCACTTACCTTGCCATTCATATACTTCCTCTGACTGACCCTGCCTTCTTCTCTCATTGTGCTCCTCACTGAAGAGATGCCCCCACTCCCTTATGGCTATCTGCCTGATGCCACTCTGGCCTAGATGTTGAAACTGGCCTGGTAATACTGGCCTGGGCCTCCATGTCTTCTCATCCCTCACCGTGGGACAACGCTATCTTCTCTCCTGAGTCTGACACCTGGTCTTCAGGACACACACATGAGGCAGCCATCACAGTACACACACTAGCTGTAATTCTGCCTTCACAACACCACTTCTGATTTTGGTCTCCAAAGCACTGCTTTGTCCCTGTGCGTTCTTCTGAACTAGGTCCTTTTCCTTTGAAAATAAGAATGAGGTTGCCTTTTCAGTGAACATTAACACCCAATTCCAGGAATTGTTTGGCATCATTCCACATTTCCCTTTTCCGTGTAAAAAGTTGGAGGAGGTTAAAATAAAAGTTAATTCCAGCCGGGCTTGGTGGCGCACACCTTTAATCCCAGCATTTGGGAGGCAGAGGCAGGCAGATCTTTGTGAGTTCGAGGCCAGCCTGGTCTACATAGCGAGTTCCAGGACAGCTGGAGCTACAGGGAGACCCTGTCTCAAACAGACAAAAGAAAAAAAAGTTAATTCCCCCCTCTTTTTCCTCCTGACTTTTATCTAGAAAGCTCTCAATGGAAGCAGCGCCTTTGTTTTTAACAAGGATGGTTCTGCTTCGTGCACACGTGAGAGGACCCCAAGGAAAAGCCTGACATCTGAGAGGACACTGTGCCCTGAGTGAAATGTGTGGTGCCCAGCAGCTGAGCCTCTGGTGCAATACTAACTTTTTGGGGTGTATTCACCGGATGCAGAGTAAAAGATGGCACTTGGAGCATCCTTTTCAACAGTAGAGGGATCGGAGGTCTCACTGAAGTAGAACTCTGTGAGTTTGCTGCCTAAACTATACTAACACACTCTGTGAGTTAACACAGACCTGTAGACCAGCATGTACACGAAAACCAAGATACACAGAAAAGACAAATAGGGGACGCTAATTCACTCTGTAAAGGAACTCCCATACACCACAGGAATTTCCATTTTACTGAAAGACTCAATGTCAAGATCCCCAGGGTTCTACTAATATATTTAAAACAATACTGATTTACACATAACTTCTCAAAAGACAACTCTCGTTAGTCATGGTGACATCTAACCCGTTTGAAGACTGCATGCAACCCAGCTCCCAGGTGATGGTGATTACCTCCCAAATTCCTTGATTTATGGTGAGTTGGAAGGGCAGAGCCTCCTGAATCATTCTCAGTCCATATCCTGTGTGGACCCTGATGTTGCCCCCAAACCCAAGAAACTTACCCCTGTGATCACGGCACAGTCAGACACAGTTGCTAGCAGGAGCATGATGGAGACTTGTATGGCACCTCTCATGGTCACTTGGGGTGAAGAAAGATGCTGTCCACTCCGATGCCTTTCACTTCCTCCTGCTCTGCCTTGTACCCAGGAAGCTGGGAAGATCAAGTCATCCTGCCCCTGCCTCCTCCAAATTTATATAGTCGGATCCAGGGCTGCCTCTGGATGCCTCATCTTGTTCTTCCCTCCCCATCACTAAAATTATTCAGATGAGCTCAGAAGCGAAGATGAGATCTGAATCCGTAATGGCATCGCATCACCATCAGAACTGATAAAAATGGATATATCAAGGACTTTGACAGTCGCTCTAACTCTTCCAAGAGCACCCTGCTTCAGACGGTTGTGTGAAACTCCTTCGATATTCATTTCAGCTTCTGCAGGGTTCTCCGCTGCTTGGCTCAAGGGGACAGCTTTGGAAATGAACTCAGGAATTTGCAATATGCCATTTATCCTCTCCTACACTGAACCATGGAGCATACAGGAATGTTCATTCCCTCACACTCACATTATGTAGGCATTCACCCCAGATTCAGCACAGAGGTAGCTGAGTAGACACAAGAGTGGGTAATGCCTGACCCTGGCTCTCTGAAAGGTTAAAATTCCAATATAGATATAGACAGTGAGAAAACATATCCAGGCTGTGGGGTTGATGCTCCTCAGAGGTACACAGGAGGGTCTGGTCTCTAGCAGCTTCTGAACAAACACCTGCTAGTCTTCCCTGTTATTTTGACTGGAGTCAGAATCACCATGAAAACACACCTCTGGGTGTCTCTATGAGGGTATTTTCAGAAAGGTTCAACTAAGAAGGGAAGACCTACCACGAATGTAGGCACCATCCCATGGGCTAGAGATCCAGAATGAATAAAAAGAAAAAAGCAAGCTGAGCACCAGTGTTCACCTCCCTCTGCTTCCTGACTGTGGATGCAATGTGACCTGCTACCTCATGCTCTTGCCACCACATCTTCCCTGCCATGATGGACTGATTGAACACTCAGACTATGAGCCAAAGTAAATCCTTCCTCCCTTAAGTTGCTTTTGTCAGCAATGAGGAAAGTAACTAATATAGGCAGCAGGTGTCCCTTGGTCTAGGAGCCAGGAACAGAAGACCAGCAAGCACACAGGTTCCACCCTGGCAGTATCCTGTAGAGAGCGGAGCTTAGGCTGGGCTGCTACTCAAAGGAGCCATGCTGGTGACGTTCCTGTTGTGTGGGGTGTGCATGAGAGCAGCCTGAGCTGCAAGAAAACAAGTAATGGCAGGCCAGTGGGAAAGTGACCTTGGGCAGAGCCATCTTGCTAGAGGGGAGCCCTTGATCCCAACCTTCTCTACTCCAAACAACCTAGAGGAGATACTGGAGCCTTTACTGGACAATCCACATCTCTTCACAGTAAGAAAAGCTAATATTTTTCCAAGGTGTGTTTTCTAATGTGTTGATATAGGTTAAACATTCCTAATCCAAAAATCCAAAACACAGACTGGAACATTCCAGCATAATGTCACATGTGGAAAATTCCACACCATGAAACCTTGTTGGGTGCACAAAATTATTTAAAATGCTATATAAAATTGCTTTTAGGCCATATGTATAAATATACACGAAATAGTGAGCTGGGTGTGGTGGTGCATGCCTTTAATCCCTGCACTTGGGAGAGGCAGGTGGATCTCTGAGTTCAAGGCCAGCCTGGTCTCCATAGTGAATCCAGGCCAGCTGTGACTACAGGGAGACACTGTCTCAAAAAAACCAAAAAAAAAAAAAAGATACATGAAACATAGATGAATTTCATGCTTAGACTTAATGCCCCATTTAAGACAGCTCATTGTATATGTGCAAATATTCAAAACTTTGGGAAAAATCTCAAATCTGAAACACTTCAGGGCTCAATAATTTCAGAGAAGAGATACTCCAACTGTAGGTATTACATGTACAATTTTCTTTTTTAAAAAGAGAGAGACTTCCATAGCCAGAGATCTGAAAACACCAAATACACCTATATCTCAGGCTTCTTTCTGCAGAACTTTTCAGAGCCTTTCATACATTAGCATATGAAACATCAAATGGAAAATGCAACTTGTGATTTGTCCCTGACTCAGCCACAAAGTCCTATTTTCTGAAAGCATCCTGTGGAAAAAGAGTTCTCACACAGAAATGCTGGCAGGTTTTTATGAGTGGTCAAAGACCAGAGCAGACCTGCACAGTGCTGGAAGCCAGACCCCTGCTGGCAGACACACTGACTTCTGACTCTGATTGCTCACTGGTGTCACGACCTTGAATTCTGTTAATTCTCAGAGCCCTGGGTTCTCAGGGCCTCCTGTTCTCCCTCTCTCAGAGTTCCTCACCACAACACACAATTGTCATAAGGAAATTGTAGCAAGGAAATCTTATAAAACAGTAACATTAACTGAAAGCATTTTCTTCCTCATGAGTGCTAGTGCTTGAAGAAAAGGCAGCTTAATGAGAGGAGGGTGAGGCTGAGCTGGCAACTTGATAGAAATCCCAAAGAGACTCTGGGAGCTCTAGGAAGAAGTCGCACTGTTTCTTTCTTCAGGAACTCAGTTAAGCAAGCACTCCCTGTGACTCTTCCCTGTGTCCTGAAGCTCCGGAATACAGGGCAGATGTCTCTATGACTCAGACCTCTGCTTCTGTGTACAGGTGGATTCAATTGTCCTCTTGGCACAATCAGGGTAACTGTGGTTGACAGTTGGGAGTCTAAGCTGGGCGCACCCCAAGGATTCAAAGTCAAGAAGTCAGAGGTATCACGAATTGAGAAGTGAGTGGTAGAAAGTGGGGTGAATGCTGGAAAGTGCTAAGTGTTCCGGGTCCCCTTATGAGAGAAGAAAACTAGTGGAGACGATATGGAGGACAAACCTTTAGCACACTCTTACATACCTGTAGAGATGATAAGGGCTGGGGTGTGTGTGTGTACGTGCGTGCATGCATGCATGTGTGGTGTGTGAAGGCCACTCTCCTGGGGACTTGTGTAAACCCTGACCTGATGTAGGCCCCTGAGATGGCCTTCAGGCCATGTCCATTGCTCTATAGACTACACAAGGAATCTTGTTTAGAGACCTTGCTTCAGCCTGGACTGTGAAAATCTTGTAGAAAATGTGTTATAACATGCTCTCTCTGTTATCCTTCTTTCTAATGGGTTGGCTGTGACGCCTTTTAGAAAAATATAAGAAATAAACAATGGAACAAAGGAAATTCAAACATTCAGATCAGAGATCCTTAACCTGGGGCCATAGCCCCCTAAATAGTCCTTGAACAGAATTCAGGTGACTTGTAAACATAGAAAATTTTTCTCTTTATTATTTTTACTAACTTCTAACTGAATTTTAATGTTTTCTTCCATTTTAGCTGCAGACCAAAATCCACAAAATGACTTTGGTACCTGTGACTTTGTCACCAAGAAAAAAATGGAGTTATTTTAATATCATATTGATATTTCTACAAATAGCTCAAAATATCCTTTCTACTGTTGTTACTACAATGGAAATCATGGTGTTTATCAGATCACTAATAGATTGGGTTATTTGACATAGTAATAAAGTAGCATATATATTACCACACCAAAAATATGTTTTAATAGATAGTTTTCTATTTGAGTATTTGAGTAGAATTGATTTTCTTTGTAATCTTATTTTAGACATTTAAAAACATTACTCCAGAAAAAGCCATAAGTTTTATTTAATGAATGGTACAAAAATAGCAAGAACTCCTGACGTAGACAGTGAAGATGGATGAGAAGGAAAAACGCCTTGGTGAAGTGCAGTGTAGGGTCATAAATTCAGGCTAGCCAAAAGAGAGAACCTGAAACTAGACAAATTCGAGAAGAAACTGTCAAGAGGAAAAGGAAGAGGAGGAAGAACCAATTAGAACAAGAAGAAAAAAATCCAAAAATCTCTGGGGCCAGAGAAAACAATGGATTGATAGTAGGGGAATGGCTTAGTATGTTCCAGGTGCTATTGCAAAATACCTTAGACTAGACAATTTACAAATAACAAAAATCTATTTGCAGTCATAGAGTCTGGGAAGTTGAAGATAAGGTGCCAGGAAGTTCAAAATCTGGGTCCTGGCAAATTCAGTGTCTGGTGACATGCTCCACAGATGGCACCTCCTTGCTACATGGCTATCTACATGTCAAAAGAAGCAAACAAACTCCCCATGGCATCTTCATAGGGACAATAAGCCAATTTCTAAAGGCTCCACCCTCCTAACTAAATCACCACCCCAAACCCACTTCTTAATACCATCCCAGTGGGGACTGGATTTCAACATAAGATTTTGAAGACACACAAGCATTCACCTATAGTAGGGAAAAGTATCCACACGATAGAGGGACCACGGAGAACACGGTTCCTAATCTGGGTCCGGGGAGACTCAATCCCAGGTTCTGAGGTTCCCCAACCTTCATACAACTCATATTCCCATAGTGCCTTGCCTGCACAAGAACATAAGAAGAAAAGACACCATTACAATAGTGTCAGAGAGTATAAAGCACCTACAAATGTGAAACCTGTCAACCTGCAAAGTCTCCCAGTCATCCCCATCTGGTCCACACCTCAGGACCAGACTATACAGCTCCTCCAAGCCTGTGGGCACAGCAAGTCTTCTCTCCTCCGTGGGTGTCTGGTTGAAGTAGGCTTCATCTCCCCGTCCCTTTCTCTCCTGCACCCGTGCCAGTCTTGTTCCATCACTCCAGAGGAGCCCTTTCTATCACCTTCATCTTCAGTCCTCTCCTACCAGGCTCTTCTGTGCTCGGGGCGCAGGTGCCCATCTCCTTTCATGACGTCATTTCCTTTAAGTCCTCTTGCTTTCCGCCTTCTCTGAAGTCTCTTCTGCTTCTTTCTATTCCCTTAAAAGACTTTCCTGACGTTGCACACTCACCTCAATAAACTCAACCATCACCTACCTAAGTGATAATGATCTCAAAGCATTTGACCAGCAGCCCATTGGACCTCCCTGACACCCTAACACGCCCTTATCCCCTGGCAACTCTTTCCCTCCCCACTCCTAAGCCCACTCTCCTGTCTCAGGGTTCATAGTTATAAACAACAGGAGTCTGGCTGGTCTAAGTGGAAAAGGAATTTAATGAGACTGTTAAGTGGTTCTTTGAATTACTGAGTGTCTGCAGAAACTGAATGGAGCTCCGTGCCCAACAACAAAGCCCAGAACCACAGCACAGAGTTGCCTAATGAGGGCTGTGCCTTCTGAAGCCAGATCTCTGCCGACATCCAGCCAGGAGAACCCTCACCATTCTCATGGAAGGCTCACACGCAGTGTTAACTGTGGAGCCCTGCCTTCCACAAGTCAAATGCATAGCCGCATACAGGAAAATCATTTGAAGCTCTCAGGCAAGCACAGATCATGTCTGCTGGTTGCCATGCGCTCTCTGCCCAATAATGGCCCCACAGTACACTCAGTAGTTGAACCTGGCCATTTCCTAGATCCTTGAATTTCCTTGCATTCCTTTGTTACTTGATCCCATCACCTGAACTCCAGCACCTCCTCCCTCTCAATCTTCACCACTGCTGTCTCATCTCCCTGACTGGACCATCTCTTCAGGTCGACTCCTCCACCCATCCTCCAAGAAGCCCAGAGGTCTTCTCCAGTTCCAGATCTTGAACCACCTGACCCAACTCTCCTTTCAGCTTCATCTGCCATCTTTCCACTGGAATGCGCGCCTTTCCACAAGACAAAACTGCTCCAACTCCTTATGGACCAATTCTTCCACGTCCTTACATACCATAGTGGACTAGATGGTGGTCCCCAAAAGATGTGTCTCTGTCCCATTCCAATCAGTGAATGCGATCTTATTTGAAAGCAGTCATGAGGGACTTACGAGATAGCTCAATGGGTAGAGGTACTTGCTACACAAGCCTGATGACCTGAGTTCGATCCCTGAAACCCACATTGGAAGGAGAGAACCAACTCCCAAAAGTTGTCCTCTGACCTCCACATAGGTGCTGTGGCACATACATGCCCCACATGCGCATAATACAAACACATATACACACAATAAAGAGTAAAAGTATTTTTAGTGCTGAGGGCTAGGAAAATGGCTCTGTTGATAACATACTTACCCACACAAGTTCAAGGACTTGAGTTCAGGTACCCAGCTCCCATGTAAAAAGCCAAGCCCAGCACATACCTGTGCTCCCAGCACTGGGGAGGCAGAGACAGGAGAATCCCTGGGGCTTGCTAATTAGCCAGTCTAACCAAATCAGCAAGCTCCAGGTTCAGTGAGAGACTCTAACACAAAAATAGAGAGCAATCAACCTGACTTCACCATACATATGTATATATCTGTACACACACACACACACACACACACACACACGAGAGAGAGAGAGAGAGAGAGGAATCAGACTTTGTAGATGTCATTAAAGATCCTGACACAAGATCATC